GAAAACAGTGCGCATGCTAGTGAAAACAGCATTCAACACTCATAATTTTCGGTCAGCGCGTGAATATCCCATGACGGCACAAGAAAAAATATTATGTGGGCCAACCCAAATGCACTCGCTGGATACGCATAGTTTGGCAAGCTGGCATTAAGAGCGCCAAATAGGAGAATCTGTGGTGACTAGAGCTCAAAAGCTGGGAGCAACTAATTGAGTGCGCTCCTTCAGGAGCCTCCCCAAGGGTCACTTGGGATGGGCTCACGTATTGTACTCTGGGCGCTCACTCTGAATTTTTATTCGCATATTTTTAAATTTCTTTTAAAATCAATGAACATTTTTCAAATTCATGCACATCTTTTTAAATCCATGAACATTTTTTAAATTCATTAATATTTCCCAAATTAATGAATATTTTAAAAATACATGGAAATTTTAAAAAATTGTGAACATTTCTCAAATGCATGAACATTTTTTAAACCCTTCTTTTTATTCAAATTCATGAACATTTTTTTAAATCAGGGGATATATTTTGATTTCACCAAAATTTCGAAAATTCACGTAAAAAACAATGAACCCCGCTCATAAAAATGAAACTAGTGTGAACGCTAGTGAAAACAGCGTTCAACACTTATATGTTTTGGTCAGGTGTGAATATCCCGTGACAAAACAAACAAAACATTATATGGGCCAAGCCAAAGACGTTCGATGGGTACGACTAGTTTGCCAAACTAGCGCTAAGACATGGCGGCCATATTATAGGGAGGTAGCAAACTTGGCAAGGTTGTGAGCTTCAAAATTCGAGTGTCTACTTTCATGGATAAATCTACAACCTGAAAAAAAAGCACTACGCTCTTGAAGTTCTCGAATTATCGAGCCACTCGTTCCACATGTACCTTCCTTGTTCTTAGTTATCCTCACCTTGCAACCTGATGCGATGCAGACATGTCTCGGCTAAAGATCTTCGGAGAGGGCGAACGCTTCACAGCAAGCAAGCGTCTCCAGAGTTCGCGAATCCATAATTCCTTTGAATACCACCACTGAATCCCCCGTACATATTCCATTTTGATCTCTATAAAATGCATTAACCGCCCCTGTATTTGTTCCTCGCCACAGAGCCATCAACATTGATATTACCTGACTCACTAGGTGGAGGGATCCTCACTAGCCGGAGGGATCCATTGCATGATCAATGTTACGTGGGTGTCTTTGTCTCGCCTTACGCGAGACGGAAGCACGCATCGCCTCGCCACCTCCCCTAAATGGGCCGAACATAGCGTGTGCAGATTGCCACACATCAGGTGTACGTAGGTTATGTATTTTTTCCCCAATAATTTTATTATTTTTTCTTTTCTACTTTTGTTTATATTTTTGAAATATTAAAAATAAATAAAAACTTCATTTCTGTACAAATTTAAAAACACTCATTGTGATTTAGAAAAATGTGAACACATTGTAAAAAGTTTGTTCATGCAATTTTAGAAATAATGTTTGTACAATTCAAAAATAATGTCCATGACATTTAAAAAAATTTCTCATGTGTTTCAACAATCTGTTCGGGACATTTTTTAAAACGTATGCAATGTAAAATAATATTTAAGTTAAAATAATCGTTTCATACGATTACCAAAAAATGTCCATGACATTTAAAAAATGTTACTCGAATTTTAGAATAAAGCCTTATGCAATGTAATAATTGGTCACGTAATTAAGAAAAATTACACCTTACAAACAATGTTCATGACATTAAGAATAATTGCACCTTACAAACAATGTTCATGACATTAAGAATAATTTCAAAAATATGGTCATGGCATTTTTATAAGATCTTTATGACATTTAAAAATAGTATACGGTGTAAACAATTTCACACGATTTTTTAAAAAGTGTCATACCATTTAAATTCAACGTCTATTGGAAAAATGTTAGCATGTACTCAGTTTTTTAATGGGCCGGCCCACTAGAAATGTTCATGTAGTTGAAAAATGTGCAACATGTATCATAAAGTTGTTCCATGTGTATAAAGAAATTGTATAACGTGTATTTAAAAAGTAGACATTTATTTGAAAAATGGAAAAAGAAAATGAACAAACAAAACAGATAAAGAAATTCAGAAAAACAGAGAATAAAAAAATACATTGAAGGTTCTATAATCGGTAAGATTCCGATGTAAGAACAAACGGCTGGCTAAGGTCCAGCCCAATAGAACTTTTATTTTATTTTCTATAATAATTATCTGAAAGCATATCTCTTCAATAATTTTGAAAATATAGCACAAGAATCATTTTAAATTTAGCAAAATTACGTACCAAAAAGTAATTTCACGTATCTAAAAAATTGTTTGCATATTGGAAATGTGTTTATGTAGTATTTATTATTCACTACGTACGACAAACAGTTAATATATTTGGAAAACAAATCATGCATTTCAGAATAATTATTCATGTGTGTTACATTACTGGTTTA